CAAATTCCAGTTAATTTCGGTTAATTTTGGTACACAGCTCAGCAGTGGCTACCTATCCCCTACTTCTTATTCCTGTGTCAGGAAGCTGTGCACATGATTCTGTTTTGTGTTTGGCCTTAATATCCAGAGGTGACTGAGGGTATGGCCAGGTCTATGCCAATAAGTGTTTCCTATTATTACAGTTCCCCTAGGAATGAGAGGCACAGTGCGCCATGAAGGGCCACACGAAACCTGTCACATGTGGGGACAAGGAAGCAGACAGAGAGACCTGGAACTCTGTCTTTACTGCTAAGATGGCTGGGAAGGAACTGGGTGGGGATGCCCCCTATTGCACATAAGGTAAAAACACACATTCTACAGTTTGTGGTTGGGAGCTTTGTGATATGGCTTTGATGTGCCCGTGAGAGCTGGTTTGCAGCAAAGATGTAAACAACTTTGACCACTAGTTTGGCCCTGCAGTTAACTGACACCAAATAGACAAATACAAAACCCAAGGACACACAATTTCAAAAGTTCCAGCAGCGGTGTGTACACAGCTCGTGGGAGCCGAGGTGTGCGGTAAGCGCTCTGTCCTTCAGATACTGGGGACCTGTGCTCTGATCACTACCTGGTGCTTCTGACTGTGGAGGCAGGACACACAGTCAGGCAGCCCTTACCACACCACTGTAGTCCTTACTTCCACCTCCAGCTGAAGCCACTTTGAGGGGATTTGAAGGGCAAACACCTCTCCTTGCTTTATTTTTCTCTTTTCTACTTTTGGGAGCCAGACATTTAAGGGCTAGATCATTATACAAAGCAGTTGTATGCACAGGGGAATTTAGAAAGTCACTGTACGTGGCCCAGGAAGAGGCGGAGACTCAGCAAAACACTGAGAAGACCTTAAGTTTACACCTCAGGCTGATACTCTGTGCACACAGCCCTACAGCAATCAAAAAACAAAAATAATAAACAAAACAACAACAAAAACAGCAAATCCTAGGGAAGGGGGAGAATCTAACTTCCAGAGTTCCCACATTACGAGATTCAAATATCCAGTTTTCAACAAAAAAATTACAAGGTGTACAAAGAAACTGGAAAATAATGCACATTCACAGGAAAACAACAGAAACCATCCCTGAGAAAGACCAGACGGTAGACTTATTGTCTCAGATGCTGTCTGAGAGTTAAAGGAAGGAAGATGTGTGAAAAACTAATAAAATGATGTATGAACAAAATGGAAATATCAACATAGATAGATAACATAAAAAGATATGAAAAGGGAATTCCAGAGCTGGAAATTACAATTACTGAAATGAAAAATCCACTAGAGGAATTCAAAAGCAGATTACAGTAGGCAGAAAATCAGCAAACTTGAAGATAATTGGTATTACTGAGTTTGTGGAAAAGACAGAAAAAATGACTTTCAGTGAACAGAACCCAAGGGCATAGTGTCAAGTGGACCAAAACACACATTTTGGGAGTCCCAGAAAGAGATGGGAAAGGACAGAGCAATTCTTTAAAGAAATAATGGCTGAAAACTTCCCAAATTAGGTGAAAGAGAACTATAAACATGAAAGAAGCATAATGAACTCTAATATGATAAACTCAAAACTCCCACACCAATACACATTATAATCACTATTAAAAGCCAAAGACAGAGAGAATCTTGAAAGCACCAAGAGAGGTGACTTGTCACATACTGTCACATAAAAGGGATCACCACTAAGATCATCAGTAGACTTTTCATCAGAAATTTTGGACACTAGATAGCAGTGGACTGGTATACTCAAAATGCTGCACAGGAAAAAAAAAATCAACCAGCAACCCTAGATATGATGAAAATGTCCTTCACAAGTGAGGAAGAAAGTAAGAAAGACATTTACAGATAAAGAAAAGCTAGGAGTTTGTTACCACTAGACCTGCCCTGCAAAAATTGGTAAAGTGAGTCCTGCAGGCTGAAATAAAGGCACACTAGGGGCGCCCAGGTGATTTAGTCAGTTAAGCATCTGACCCTTGATTCTGGCTCAAGTCATGATCTCACAGGCTTTGCACTGTCAGTGTAGAGCCTGCTTGTGATTCTTTCTCTTCCCTCTCTCTCTGCCCCTCCTCCATGTGCACTCTCCCTCTCTCAAAATAATAGACTAAAAAAAATAAAGACACAAAAAGACACTAGACAGTGTAAAACCATATGTACAAATAAAGATCTCAGTAAAGGTAAATATGGGCAATTATAAAAGCTAGTATTCAATTTATAACTCTACTTTTTGTTTTCTATATGATTTAAGAGACTGATACCCAAGCATCTATCAACAGATGAATGGATACACATATAAAGGAATATCATTCAGACTTAAAAAGGAAAGAAATTCTGATACATGGCTAATATATGGATGAACCTTGACATTATGCTAAGTGAAAAAAGTCAGTAACAAAAAGACAAATGCTCTATGATCCCACTGATATGAGGTACCTAGAATAGTCAAATTCGCAAAGACAGAAAGTAGAATGGAGGTTGGCAGGGGCTGAGCGGTGGGAAGAATAGAAAGCGGTTTAATGTGTATATAGTTTTAGTTTAACAAGATGAAAAGTGGAGACGGATGGTGGCAATGGATGCACAACAGTGCGAGTGTATTAACACTACTGAACTGCACACTGAAAACAGGTAAGATGGTAAATTTGATGTTACGTGTATATTCCCGCAATAAAAATATTGGGGGGAAATGTCATTACAGTGGAGATCAATTGCCTGTTAAGTAAGGTGATTAGATTGCTGTCACGGCTCTGGTTGTTAGAGGATTCCCTGAAGAAGTGATATTTAAGCTAGGCTCTAAAGAATAAGTTCTCCCATAGGCAAAGAAAGGTGAAAGAGCACTCAAGGAAAAGGAAACAGCATTTGCATCAAATGGTTGGCAAAGAACTGATGCATTATATGGTGTGAAATAAATTAGTCATAATTTCAAAAGAACTGCCTACTAATTCAGCAATAAAACAATGTCCACAATGAATTTTGTTTTATGGTTTTGTTTATATTGAATTTGAGAATGTGTTAAGTTCTATAGTTGTAGAAGAAATCAAAAGCAGAATGATTTATTTACTTCTGAGGTTTTAATTTAGAATAAAAATAACTTAAATCAACATTGAGGCGTCTGCAGCAGTCCCACTGAGGAATGGCATGAAGGTTTTAAATCAGTAATTTTCGTTTACTGCGAAAAGCACAAAGAATAAATTTTCAGGGAAGCATACCAGGAGCTATCAGGCTGGAGAACTTCCAGGTGGAAATTCCAAAGACTGGGGTGTATGCATGCCTGACCAAGAAAGGCTAAGAAAACAGAGCAAACTGATCTGCAAACTACTAAAAGGTCTTGTTTTGGTTTGGTATTTCAGGATTAAAAGTTCCTTTCATTCGGGAAAAGAATTGGGCAACTATTAAAATCCAACGTCTCCTGGCAGAGTTGAAGTGAACAACCAGTTTCTGATCAAATCTGTACCACGATACCAACTAGAAGAGGTAAAGGACAAAGAAAAGTACGTATGTGTTAATGTCTGTATGTACAGATATAAGGTCTGTGTGTACATCCATATACATTCCTACAGGCACATACACTCATATACCCTTGTCACAGACAGGAATATTTGATTTTTTTTTTATTAGTACTAAGCACTTTCCACAGCTGCATATGCGGAAAAGGGCTTTCAAACTGCAGCCTGAAATCTGTTAGCTAATCATTTACAAATAAAACATGAAAAACCATAAAAAGAAACCAGGTGACGTTAAGTGCAAAATAAAGAATTCCAAAAAGGAGTTTAAGAAAACTGTCTACTTTCATGGTTGTAAAAAGTATACACTTCAGTATTTTAGCATGAATTTTGTCTCAAAATAAAATTTTATTTTAAAGCAGATCAAATCCATTCATTTGCTAACGATTTACTGAGGTACTGCCCTGTACTAAGCATTGTTCTTGATGATGGAAATCAATACCCCAGTTCCCTTGGAGATTACATTCTAGTGAGGCACAGACAGACTATATGCAATAGAGTATGTGTTGGATGATGATAAGATCAATGAAGGAACATGTGGAGAATGGAGGGGCTGCAATTTTAGCAATCACAGACTGCTTCCTACATTACTAAAGTGAGTTCAAGATTGCATCACTTGTTATATGGGAAAACTGAAATCTGCTTATGTAATAAACATTGCTACAGATTAAATTGAATGAACTTTAGTTTTTAAATACTACTTTTTTTTTACTTAAGTCACTACTTCATCATATCTTTAATGTTGTTTAAAAATTTTCTAAGTGGGTTTATAAAATTGATGTGAAAGAGATTTTCAAGTCGAAAAGAGTTGGGAAGTGCTGTGTCATACATACTACTATCAAACTGATGCTGAACCACGTATGGCCCGTACCTGAGATCAGCGGTTCTCACAGGAGATTCCGCAATCCCCTACCCCAGGAGGGGAACATTTGGCAATGTCTGGAGATACTTCTGGTTGTGAGGACTGGAGAGGATGCTACGGGTAGAGTCCAGGAATGCTGGCAAATGCAATGTACAAGACAGTCCACCACAATAAGGAACGATCCAGCCCCAAATGTCTACAGGGCCATGGCTGACAGAGAGAGACCAATGACTGTGATAATGTTTCTCTTAGAAAAGCACCATTTGACGCCATGGGACCAAAATGGAGAGCATGCAAGGGCAGAGAACAGAAGTGAAACAGCAGGTGGCATTTTAACCTGGCCTTGAGGGAGAAGAAAAGATGAAGAATGAGGATTACAGAAGGAACAGCATGAGTGAAGGGCTGGACACATCCATGTGCAGCACCAGCAGGGATTAGGAGGCCCCTCATGTACTGTGGTTGCTTCCTATTGCTTTAAACAGTACTTAACTTAATATAACTAATGTAATCCTAAAAAGCAATATATAAATCTAATTACATTTCAAATGTATAAATTTCTACAATTTCCATAGATCAATTTTACTTAAAGCAAGCCACTCCCTCCCACACTGTATAAACTCACACAGTATCATTATTGCCTCTTCAAGTGACTTTGGTCAAGTAAGTGTGATCCAGTGGAAAGAGCATTAACTTAGAATTCATCCCAGACACCTGAGTAAATTGGGGCGTGCGGTGGGAGAGAGGGGAATTCCGAGGTAGCCTGTGAGGCTCCCTCTGCGAATAGGTAAGAGTAGCCTAGATGTTCCATATTGCCCTATGCTTCTACCTTTAATCTGATTTACTACCAGGAAAGGGCCATAATCTTTCATCTTCTTTGCATCTTTGCCTCTGTAGTTACCCTTGCCTAAAATGCTTCCCTCCCTCTCGCTTTCTAAAATTCTATTTATCCTGTTACTTTATCAAATTAATTTTAAAAAGTGAGGTTAAATTTAGCTAGAGTGAAGTACACACAGACCCTGAGTGTACAATGCGATGAACTGCTGTGTATACCTCCACGCCACCTCAACCCGGTCAAGGCGTCCTGGTCTTACACACCGGCCCCTCCCCACGCCGGAAGCGAAGCGTCCCGGCCCCAGGTGGGTCCCTACTCTGACCGTCCGTGCCCCACGGTACCGCCCTTCCGCCCAGCCCCCGGACCTCCCCCAGACGCCCCGCGCCCAGCACAGGAGCCGCCTCCGAAGGCCGCAGCGGACGGGCGTGGGGGCCCGACGTCCCGGGCAGGAAGTCAGGGTGGCAGGCCCCGTCCCATTTCTGGCCGGAGGCGCGTCCTCCTACGGCCGCGGCCCAGGCCCACGAGGCCGCGTCCCGCACAGCAGGAACCCGGCTCCTCTGGGCTCGCCGGCCCGCCCCAGACACCCTGAACTGAGCCCCTCCGCCCTTACTGCACGGGAGAAAGGGGGACAAACAGAAAAAGAACCACAACCGCCTCCGAAGCCGCAGACCAGCGCGGAGGCGACCCCACCTTCGCGCCCACGTCCGTCCACTCCGTAGCCACGCGTGCGCAGTCACCCTCAGGTGCGCAGGCGCGGGAGGCCGGCCTGCGTGGGCCCGCGCCGCGTCCGCGCATGCGCACACCCTCTAGCCCGAGGGCGCTTCCGGAAGACCCGGGACGCAGTTTCCTCCAGGCGCTCCAGTCGTGCTGTGATGGGGGCAAGGGCTTGCTCCTGATGGGCATTGTCCCCTCTCGTTTTCTCTAGCTTATAAATTACCTCCCAACAATGGTGGCAATTAAAAAAAAAGGGAGGGTAAGGTTTTAGTTAAATTCCCTTCAAGTTAAACGTATTCCAAGTAGCCTGTTTTGCACTCGAAACTACTACGTTTCGCAAACATTAAATTTAGGCATCTCTCTAGTTTACTCGGTCTTAGAGGAATTAAGACATTAAGTTGAGGCTTTATATGAGTTGGGTTAGGAAAACCCTCAAACCCTGCACTTTGGTCAGATTTCCTCCTCAGTATGGTTTGCCTACCCAAACTTAATGTGGTTACTGTAAGTCCAGCTGTATGCATTTTCATTTGGGGGTTAGCTGCAAAAAATACAAGAGATGTAAATGAGTGTAAGATCTGATTGGTAAACAGATGATGTAAGCAGATGTCTTCATGCTGAAAGAAGACCAGCTACTAATTTGGAAAGCAATCCAATCATGAGACAACAACATCCTCCATGAAAATGATGGATACTGTTTGGTCAGCTGCTTTGCCATTACTCTTTCAAAGCCTTCAGTGTTGAGTGTGTTCAACATATATGAAGACATCTAGCGCATAACAAGAACTTACTGTAAGAAGTGTTCCCTTCCACCTTCGCTGCTACCAAATCATGAGATACTTATTTTCCATTCCCCAAGGCAATCAATCTATATATTATGTTCCTACCTTCCTTTACTAATTTTATTATCTTGCTAAGTTTTATATATTCTGATGAATGGCTTTAAATCCGATCCAGGATAAGGTGAGGATATAAATGAATTGCTGAGCTGCCAAATGATGCCATTCAGTAGTTCATGAAAGAGGTTTATGGGGCGCCTGGGTGGCTCAGTCAAGGTTGGGCTTCCGACTTTGGCTCAGGTCATGATCTTGCGTTTGTGGGTTTGAGCTCCGCATTGGGCTCTGTGCTGACAGCTCAGAGCCTGGAGCCTGCTTCACATTATATGTCTCCCTCTCTCTCTCTGCCCTTCCCCTGATCATGTTCTGTCTCTCTCTGTAACATAAACATTAAAAAAAAATTTTTTTTAAAGAGGTTTACAACTTTGTGATTACCATGCTTTCTATTTTAAATACTGTTTCCAGGTCTGTAACAGCCCCTTTTTTTCTTTTACTTTGAAAGTTTTGAACTGATGACAAATCTATTAAACAGTATTTCAAAATCAGATGTAACTTAGCAAGAGAGCTGGAAAGAAAAATATAAAGCTAAAGCAAATCAATAACATGAACCAAGAAATAATTAATAACCAACTTTTATGGCAGTATATTTTTACAGAGGTAGTCATACAAGACTGCCTTGGCTTATCAATTAACAGAAAAGTTTATGCTAAAGAAAATTAGTTTTGGCTTGAAACATCTTTTTAAGCTTTCAAAGTTTTAATTGCTTTCATATCATGTGAGCTACAGTAGTTACCTTCATGTAATGTGTATGACATGTTTTTTTATAATTAAAGTGACTTAGATGTCAGAAAGTTCATATAATTATACTTCCACCAAGAATGTTGACTGGCCAGACAGCATGTCTCACTAATACATGAAGATTAGGATTTTCCTGGTGAAACATTTGCATTTTAATTTAATGGTTATTAAAATTACAGAAAAACATAAAACATCAAAAGCAATTTGATTGGTATTAAAGTGAAGTGAAGATTATTTGTCAAGTTAAACTAGTCTTGAAAGATGCTTTCAAATCAATTCAGGAATGACTCCTTTGTTTATTCAAGAATTATTTTTGTTCATCTCACTACTCTTCAGAAATGGTGCATAAAAGGAATGAAGATTATTCTGAAACATAATGAAGATTATTTAAGATGAACTTACACTCAGTTTTTCCTTTTCTAAAAAGTCACTAGGAATTACTTATAATGACAAGAACAGACTCTTCCATTTGTCAAGTACTGTATTGCTGAAGTTTTCTGATGTGCATTAGTGTAGCAAAGCTTTAACTTCACTTGGGGAAAAAAAAGTTTCATTTCTCCAATTTATTTGGTAACAGCTAAGCTATAAAGAATTAGTGATTGGGACACCTGCGTGGCTCAGTCAGTTAAGTGTCCAACTCTTGATTTTGGGTCAGGTCATGATCTCAGTTTTGTGAGTTCGAGTCCTATGTTGGGCTCTGCACTGACAGCAGAGAGCCTGCCTGGGATTATTCCTCTCTCTCTCCTCCTGCTTGCACTCTGTCTCTCGAAATGAATAAACTTAAAAAAAAAAAAAGAATTAGTGATTCATGAAACCTACTTTGGGAACCACTGCTATGATTTTTGTTACTGGAGGATTATGAGCTGAATATTCAACAGAAATTGGAACCACCAACTTAAGTAGATCAATTTTCTCATATAGAAAAGAAGAAACAGTAAGTAAGATGGTAAACTCTACCCCAATACCAACATGGTAGGTGTGGCTAGGTCACATTTTATTGATGTGGAGATACTACAGTGCTTAAAATTAATGACTATCAGATATTAGACTTTGTATCAGAACACATTGATGGATCAAAATGTGCTTGTAGAAACAATCTTTAAGTATCATGGAATCTCTTGAGCATCTACTATTATATCCATTACCATGTTTAAAATTTTCCCTTTGGGAAGAATTGACATTTATGGTCCTATGATATAGAGGATGTGGTTAGGAATCGAATTTAGGTCTCTCTGCCTCTCCCCTGTACTGTACCAGTTCGAATGGCTTTACCAGCTCAGTCCTCAGAAAGGACTATCCAGGGCAATGCACTTATAAGCAGGTACAAACGAATACTGCAGCCTAAGATCTCCGGACACTGGAAGACTGAGCTGGCAAAGCCCAAATGAACACTATCACAACTTAAAACCGCTAACTACTATGGAAATAAAAACATTTGTTAGTTTCACCCAACATGCCTTTGCTTCCACTTAGTTTCAATAGAAAGTCAAACTGAACTGCCATCTTAGATTACAAAGAATGCACAAGACTAATCTGGGGTGCGACGCTTAACCACAAACAAAAATGTCACATAACCTAATCAATGCACCAAAGGCATTCTTCACAAACCATTCAGTACAAAAGGACTATTTTTAGAGAGAACCATTACAGATAAATATTAAATTTATCAATACCAATTTTTATATATGGGACCTTTAAAATCATTTATGGCTCTCTTAAAAAGACAGGTGATCAGCCTGTGCTGGAGTCCCCCCTTAATGTAAGAGGGGAAACAAAAACTCCCCATGCGCTCTACTCACTGTGCCTCTTAACCTGCTTTTTTTTCCCCCCTACCCTTGGAACAGAATCATATTTCAACATAACCTAAGAAATACCATTATAAATCAATGAATGTTCAAAGCAAAATCAAGTTTAAAATAAATATATTTCAAAATGCATTTCCTTTTCTTAAAAATATTACTTTTCCACTGCACATGTTTACAAGATCTAAGATTGGGTCTGTAAGTCTCACACAGAGCAGGATGGTAATCCTCCACTTTTCCTGAAAAGGCTGAAAAGAAAGACCCAAACTACTAAAAATATTTACTACAAATATGCCCAAGTCCAGTGATTTAACTAGTAACTCTGAAATTATTTCGAAGACCAGGAGGTGAGATAAAAATAAATATGCTCAGTAGTACAGAATATAAACAAAATCTTTTCCTTCTGAATCCTGAATACTCTATTAAGGTTTGGGTGTTTTCCCAGAAGGTAATGCAGATCTTTATCTATACAGATTTGTCTCATGTTTTTATTTAAAATTATTTTATGACTGTGAAATGTCCCCAGTGTCAATCATCCTATGAGTGTAAATGAACTAGCACCATTTCAACAAGCTTCATAAAACACTCTAGCTAAATACCCATGAACAAATCACACATGGTCAAAACAAAAATGTAATAAAAATATTTAGTGAAAAGACACATTTTTAACTCCCATTTACGGATTTAAAAAATACAAATAAAATTTTATCAACTTGATATTCAGCTTGTAACTGGCTCAATACATAGCCTTGATTTACTTCCTAAAATCATATTGTAGCATCTTTTGCAAAATTAAATGCAACTTTATACCTTCATTAGTAATGTTAATAGAGGTAAATATTTAAACAGTATATTCGTCCCTGGGTCTCTTAAAAAAACTGAAAAGTCTTAGTGTAAGTTTAAAATTTTAATATTTATAAATTTAAAAAATTTTACACGTGCTGAATGGTAGCAGTGCTAACATTTTGTGACCATTAAACCACAAACTCACTGCATGGAGTTTCTTTCTTTGTACAGAGAACCAAATCACAATACCAGTATTTGCAATTTGTCATAATTTTGTGTGGTAAAAGACACCACGCCAGGAAGCCTGGGCTCAGAACACACTTGAGGTCAGATCCCCATCAGGTACATAGTGCGGATACAGTATTTTTATTTTCAGGCCAGGAAAATGAGCTATTAGTACATAGCTGACAGCTCCTAATAGCTAGGAAGACCGAGAAGGAGAAAACTTCTCTCTGCCGGTGAGGAGGCCTGGGATACGTAAGGAGTAAAGCCCCGGTGGATGTGGATGACGATGGTTTGTGTGTCTCCAGAGTGTAACGTGCAAGCTGCGCCTCGCAACCACCACCAAAGCCCTCGTGGCGTGTTTGTCCTTCCGAAGCAGAGAGCACTATGGGCCAGAAACAGCTCATCCGTCCTCTTTAAAACAGAACGGACGGCCGTGATTAAATTTGTGTCTTCGCGTGGACCAAACAGATTCTTTGGCTATGTCATGGGTTCCCAATATAATCAGTCAGGAATATCTCACATTTCTCACATCCAAGTTACACATCTAAAGTTCAGCCTGAACCAGGGCACTTCAAATCAATTTGAGCTCAGCCAATATGCTTAATTTGGACATTGGTTAATTTTAGAAAATCAGTTTTTAACTAATTCTTAAATGTAGTGTTTTGCCAAATCAGAGAATACCCACTTACATTTAAAAATAATTTAAAACATTATTACATCCTCAGATCAGCTATGCTGTTTTGTAGAAGAATTTATAGAAAATTATGTTAAAAACTTATATCCAATCAGTTCCTTATTCTCTGGTTTAAAAAAAAAAAAAAAACCAACACCACCACTAAGAAAGTACTTAGGTCCCTTCTGCCTTTAACAGCTAATATTTTACTCAGGAACCAATTATGATAATTACCCGTCAGAGACCGCTAACTTAGTAAGGTTTAATGGCGGCCACTTCTGGTGATAAGTGGCAAACAAGCAGAACTGTAACAGACAAGAGTCTGTCAAGGGTTCAACTGACACTTAATAGTAGGAGACTCCAACCCGAAACCCTTGAAACTGAAAGCCAGTTACCTTCAACACTCAAGGGATTCACACAGATATAAACGGAAACAGGATATATGGTGGTATTAGAAAGACAAAGACTTGACATCTTGGTAAAAGAGAAAGGTTCACTGAAGACATAAGGGGAGTGTTAAATATTGCTGACTGGGGGGAAATTATAGAGATGCTTGGTTTTGAAGTGAAAACTGAAAAAGGCAGTAACCATCATATCTGAACAGAGTAATGTAATGTAATTAGAAACGTGGTTTACAGGGAAGACTAAATTCTTTAAAAAATATTGCAAAGGTTTTTTTGTTGTTGTCGTTCTACATAAGATGTCACACTTTAAACCAGACAAAAAAAACTCAATGCAGTGACGTTAACATGCCCCCGTCTTCCAGCAGATCCAGAGACAGCAAGGCAGAAAAGACCCAGCTGGGAAGGACACGGTGAAATCCCGCCAAGCAGTTTAGCTACCCAGGCAGCCTCCCACTGAACCCAAAAAACAAACCAGTCCTTTGAATAGTTACAAGAATAGTTATAGGTGCTGTTATATGGATACAAATTGTGTAAGGACCAAGTCCTTAGTGACTGTGCCTTTGGGAAACAAATGGGCAAGGAAAATAAAATAAGAAATAAGTCAAAGAACTGAAAACAAGAAGTTAAAGGATGCTATACACGAACAAAAGAAATTTTATAAAACACAGAATTCTAAAACTCATATCCTTGACAGTGTCCCTTTAACACACAAAAAGGGGGGCACAGATGATGTTTTTGTTTTTAAAACTCTTTTAACAACTTAGTTTTGACAGTAAAAATCAATTTACTAGAATTAAGCCAGTGTTCTTTATATCCATTGGGCCAAGAACATGAACCCCGCCCCCCCCAAACTAGAGTCAAAACACACAGCCAAAGACAAAACCGGACGAGTATTCAATCAGGCAAACATTAACACAAACACCCTGAAAAGAAGTCTTAGCCGCTGCAATTAGAGTGGCATCCCCATTACCTAGAAAATGGGGGTTGCTTCTTCTTCCAGTTTGCCACTAATCAACGTTAAGGTGATACCAGAAACATTATTTGGTCCAATCTGAAGTAAGTCTCACTTTAACTGAAATGGATCTAATGAAATTGCAGTACTATAATAAAATCTGGACAAATTTATAAAATACATTTCTGTCTGGAAGAAGTTATTAAATACTGACACCTTTTTATCTACCAAGGTATTTCTTTCCTACTCATCTTTATTTATAGTAATAATTTGATTATAGTTTTGTCGTGGCAGACCTACCCACTCGGTTGTGTATTTCAGTGTCCTTTGTCAAAGGGACTATTCTTATCGAACACACAGATACACACTGCTCACAACTCTTAAGAAAGCGTGAGGGGGCTGGGAAACACAAAACACCAAGAAAGAATATTGCCACAAGTTAAGGGGAAAAAAGAAGAAACCTAAGAATAAATGCACTTGTTCAAAGTGTTCTTAAAAATACAATATGTGGATTTCATGAAGAGTGATAATTTTTTTTTCCTAGCTGTCTTTTAAGATGTTTTTGCTCCACCTCATTTATTAATCAGCAGTCATCGATTAGGAGTAAAGTTCCTCAAAAAGTTACGGCCTTCGGCTCTGCATTCACTCGTGTCTAACATCACATGGCCAGGCTGGCTGTAATTTAGATGCTCCGGTTTTGTTAACTGTTAGTAGCACAGAGTTACACACAGTTCTGCACAGCATCACGTGTGAAGGTGCGTACGCTAGACGCCATGCAGATGTGGAGACTACATTCGAGGGACAGCGGGGCGTGCCGGGGTCGAGGGCACGGCGGCGGGAGCAGGCCCGCCCCCTGGCTGTCACTGTGCTGTGGGCTCTGACCCTGCAGTCTAGAAGTCAGCCTGTCCGCTCCCACTTCCGCAGCAGGAGCCGGCACGCGGAGCCCAGGAGAGCACGGCAGCAGGTGCCAAACTCCTGATTAGAAAAATCAAACCAGAGGGACCTAAACAGGAATTTTTTAGTCTCTTAAATGAACTGTGCATGGCTCCTGTGAAATAAGGAGAACGTCCACTCCAGCGTAATTATTGCCCCAAATGCCCCAACGTATAATAGTCTGTATGAATCAGTAATTCACATCCTTTAAAGTAGTTATTGCTTAAGCAAGCCATTCAGAATAGATTACCAGCCATGGGCTCCATGGCTGAAGAGAAACATACCCAAAAAGTTAGACTACATGTGAATGAGACTTTCACTTCACTCTAAACCCAACATAAATACACGATCAAAAGGGCACCGGGTTCATAGCAGCTAACACCCTGAACCAACTCTGAAGCATCAAGACTTGATTTCTTACTAAAACAAATCTCTTTTTTGTATTTTCTTCTTAAAATTAAGGCAATGAAATGGCTACAGTTCCTAAAGTTCTTTTTATGGAACAAAAACACACACCCATTTTCCTCCTGAAGTTCAGGCATCAGAGTTTGACTAGAGACCTGTACCTCACAAACCTGCAGCACCAGGCTGACGTCACAGCGAACAGAGAGCGAGAGCGTGGGCCTCAAGAGGCCAGCCAACAACACTGCTGTCTCTTCTTCCTGCTGAGTGAGAAACCCAATCATCCCATCAAAGGGAGGAAAAGTCTGAAAGCACAAAACCTCTTAGGAGTTTCCAATGTCTTTTGCATTGATTCAAAACTTCTGGGGTGGCAGAAGGGAGGAGCCTGTTAAAATGAAGAGTCCAAGGCCCAACAAGAAGAAACTTTGACTTGGAGGGTCTACAGTTGGGCCCAGGAATCTACCTTTTCAACCAGCTCCTCGAGTGATGCAGGTGCTCTGTGGGCAACATTCTGAGAAACAATGCTAAGCATATGTCCATCTAATGTATTTAATTTAACAGAAAATCTAAACTTTGGCTAGCCACCGAATGTTCTGATAAAGGGGGAAAGGCACTGAATGTGCATTTCATGGTGCCCATATCTGTTTGCACACATACGGAATTGAAAATATTAAAATCAACATTTAAAATCTACAAGACAAATATGACAGACTGTGGCTAACGCCCAACAGTGGAAGCTGATTCAAAGGTGACCTCTCCTGTTTCACTGCGTTACGTATCGAACTTTCAGGCTCTCCGAAGTCCAAAATGGCCAAAGAACTGAAGAACAGGACAAGACTCAAGTCAGCTTTTAGCAATTCAGTGCACTTTGCAGAAAGGCTCTAAATTAAGCATAAAGTTTTGTTGTTTATTTTACACAAAGGAGACCACCAACATTTGCCATAAACTCTTCTAAACTCTTCAGGAAGGCCATCTTCTGCTTCCGGTCCAGCGTCGGAGGAGTGCTGCTTGCAGTGAGCTTGTTGAAGGCATCTGCTAATCTCTGGTAAATGACCGCGTCTTGTTGACTTGACAGTAATGTTTCAACCAATTCGGAATATTCAGCCTATCGAAGAGATAAAGTATAGACATGAGAACACTTAGCTTCCTCAAATGTCACACAAGTAGATCCTATCAGGTACTAGACTGTGGGATTCTGAAAGGCAGGTCTGACAACAGCTTTTTCTTTTACGTTAAAGTGCAATTGTCATACAACATCATACTAGTTTCAGGTGTACAACACAATCACTCCGTATTTGAATACATGATGAAACGATCACAACAGCTCTTTCTAATGATTAAGATTTACTGAAAGTTCACTCTCTTCCAGGTACTGCTCTGGTCCCTGACATCAGTAACTCACTGTTTATAACAATCCTATGAACGGCAGTACAAAAAGTTACATTCCTGATTCACACATGGAAATACATATAGTGAAATTAACTAACATGACTAAGATCACACTTAAAGTTTATTTATTTACTTTGAGAAAATAAGCGTGGGGGGGAGGGAGGGGGGGAGAGAGAGAGAAAGAGAGAGAGAGAATCCCAAACAGGCCCCACACTCCGCGCAGAGCCCAGCACAGGGCTTGATCCTATGACTGTGACATCATGACCTAAGCCAAACGCAAGAGTCAAACACTTAACCGACTGAGCCGCCCGGGCACCCCAAGATCGCTGCGCTTAAGCAAGATCCAGGCTGTTGGCTCCAGAAGCCAAGGGATTACCCGCCTTGTATTGTCTCTCTTCTGGTTTCAACTGCATTCTTCATATGTATTTGACAGTTTATGCACAGCCTAAGTCTGCAACCTGACTTTCAGGGGTTCTCCAGGGTTCCCCCAGGCGCCCTGCCAGCAAAGTTCTGAGAACGGCACACCTGCACGAAGGCGGGCAGGAGCTGCCTGGGAGGAGGTGGCCTACCGCGGGAGGGGGTGTGTCAGTCCTCTCTCCAGGCGACAGTGAACACTTTGAATGTGCAAGTGCGGCTCCGAACCAGCACTGGACCCAGCGGCTCTGGGAGAAAGGGCAGAAGGGGCCTGATAACAACAGGAAGGGGTGGGGTTCGTGAGGAGTGCTTCCATCTTTAATGCCCTCTATAATACAGCCCTGTACAGAAGAGAGGGTGTGGGGTTAAGGGACCTTCAATCGAAACAGCTTTCTAAGATAAGCTCTCCTGGGTGGGGGAGCTGGTCTGACGCTCCTTTTCATTAGCTTCTTGGGATATCATAACAGACAAAAGGGTGTAATGAGATGTTCATTACATTTGGAAAAGGAGAGCAAGGCATAGGATGCCATCTCAGACCCACAAGGACCCACAAGCGGGAGCCAGGGCGGCCGCCTGAAACACCCATCCAAGGGACAGACCTGCTCACAGACTCAACACCATTTCCCTATTCAAACCTAAAGCCTGCACTCTTTTTTACAATGTGTAAATATGTTTGTTTGTTTGTTTGTTTGTTTTTAAAGGCATCTGGAATGCAATGGCTTATACACCCGGGGACAAGAAGTCCATCTTCCCAGTGAGCAACAACGAAGTAAAATGACTGAAAAAGGCCACAGACCAGAGAATGGGCATCATCTGAAGAGAGGACACAGGGACCAGCAGGTCCCAGACTACCTTCAGCTTGGAGGGGACATGGTATAGAAGGTCTACAGTAAGGGAATCTTTAAGGAGTGTGAAAGGCCTCAAAACCCTATCTTTATTTAAGAAGGTAAATAAAATCAAGGCCCGAGTGCCACTAAGAGCAAATGCGATGGACTCTATATGCTTTAAGGGGGAAAAGAAAGTCAAAGCTTTTAACAAAAAAGTCGATCACTGAGTCACACTGAGGTGTGTGCATGTGCCTGTGGGTGGGGGTGTGGAGATCAAACAATGGGAAAGGGGTGCTGGGAGACAGGGCAGCTGACGAGCTAATGTGGGTCTTCTCATACACTTGACGGGCGCCTACTCCACTGGAAGCGGGAAGGGACAGGTGAGCTAGTGTAACTTTTCCTCCATTACATTAACCCCAAACAGCAAGTGAGTGCTTCAGAGTCTTTAAAGGCTCAACAAAATAAGACGAAACAACACACACCTTTCCACAGTGCAATATGAAGTCATACACTTCCCATACGGTGGCAGGAAGTAACACCCTGTCTGTCGACTTCCACGCCTTCTCAAGGCAGATCCTCTGGTCCCAGTCTTACTCCTCTGTCTCCCTCACAAAACCGCAGCTTCCTCAAGGACAGAAACTATGCCTCTACTACTCCCTCACGGTGACTCTTGGTTCCAAGCACACTTGTTTACAAGGACAAGCTCCAGGGCAGTGACCAGGGCAAAGGAGGGTCCGTAACAGTGGAGAAGGGAAAGCACGTGCTTACTCACTGGCAAACAGCTTGTCAAAAGAGCTAACGCGGAGGTGAAGAACTACGCCCTCACTGAAACAACAGAAGCGCTGAGTCACAGGCTCTTTAAGAACTGGGAGTATCGAAGGCCCACCACCTGCCCCAACAGTGTCCCGGCTGGGGGTGGGGGCGGAGTGGAGAGAGAGACTCGTGTCTGGTACCTGATGCAAGCACACCAACGTGTAGAAAGCTTCCCCAGCCGCAGTGGTCATCTCTGTGTTGTGCTTTTGCAAAACCAGCATATCAAAAACCAGCTGAAAGGACATAATACAAAACCTCTAAACAAAAATATATGATGATCCTACAGTCTCCCAGCCTGTCCCTATTCCAAAGAGACAAAGAGTTGGTAGGTGTTCTTATTAATTAAATAAATCTGCAAATGAAAGAAAACAGCTCTTTAAACACCCAAGGATTTTAATAACAGACGTTGATCCTTGCTGTGACATGTGAAATCATCAAATGACCAGACTGTCTGTTACAGGTGCCATCAATTTTCAAGAACACACAAATGGAGAACAAGGTGTCCAGGGAATCGGACTCCAGAAAGCACAATGCACAGAAAGTGATTCTTCTCTGCCCTATGAATACATGCACATCTCCTCATTCGAACAAAGATTCACGGGTGCTGACTGGACCCCGGCAGGTGGTTTCAGGACAGGCCACCCAAACATCTTACCTTGAGAAAGTGCCGTGTTGCTAGAAAAAGGGGTGACTCCGTGTCTCGCGCTTTGGCGCACTGTTCAGCTAATGGCGTCAATGCCTCCAGGCAGAGCTGGCAAACCTCCGAACTCATTCTGATCAGGAAGGTCAAGGAACAAACCAGGTATATTTAACTTATAAAAGATTAAAAAATTACAGCTATCATCAAATTCTAGGAAGGACTACAGAGAGGTGAGCAATTAGCGTGCAACATGTCTTTATGGCGTTACGAGTTAGGTGACAGAAGGTTTCCGGCGTTTCTGAGAGGACGTCAGACTGTAGACTCCTAGTGTGTTTCCGACCACGAGCACACAACTGATAAAAAGCCTTACTTCTCTCTACTACCAGGCAGCTGAGAGCAGAGACTCGGCAACAGCAGAGACTTTAGTAATCGGGGCTCTTAACGAAAGAGTGACTTTGGGACCACCAGGCACCAAATGCCTTTGGGATTAATCTGTGAAAGGAGGACACGATGAGGCAAACTAACAAGAGAAACGCAGAATTAGGGCAGTTTAAAATTAAACACAAAGGAAAATTTAAAAATACAACTTCTTCGGGGAAGATCCCCCCACGAGTGACGATGTTCACTTAAAGGATATGATGTCATGCCTAGTTCCAGAGAGCACATCAGACTTTTGAAAAGGTCTTCAGGGAGCTGTGGTATCTTCTCAGGAAAAATCTCACAGATAAATGTGATTAATTTGTAGTACTGATTACAAAGTGTTGGAAACTGAAAAAGAAATATTAAATATTTAGATGTTTAATGATATATAATTTCTATTTTCATTAATGCAATAAAACAAAGTAATAACCAACAAACTTGTAAACATAATGATTTCTTTTAAAACAATCAAGATATAGAAAACAAGACCTAATTAAATGTAAAAATGAGTTACAGAAAGGAAATATTTTAGTAATATGAAAATAATATACAATAGAAGCAATTATCTTCTGGACAGTTAATAAAAGCTACAGCCAATTCCAGATAGTCCTATTTACCTTGAAAAAGTAGACAAAGCAGCCAAATTTCAAATTATTAAATGACCTGTAATTAAAACCCTTTTACACATGTGTTTGATTTCCAGCATGTTAGAAAAATACAGGAAGGTAATACAGACTAAGATTATGCATGGAATAGAGTATTCACTTCTTCACACTTCCAAAAGTTGGTTGGAGAGTCCTGGAAAACTGAAGTAAAAAGTAGGCAATCTCCAGTTTAGACCCTCTTAAGAAAACACATGCCTAAATGTTTAATGGTTTATTTCATGAGAAAACCCCCTCAAAATCAAACACCCTAAAAGCAAAGCAACATCCAGAGCTTCCTAAACTTGCCCCTCCTACTTGTGGCCACATGACCAGAGGCCATCACGATCATCTCCCAAAGACACTTGTCAAGGAGAGAAGCACGCGGTCCCACCCCAGCCTGCAGGGATCGGACAGCACCTCCTACTCCGAAATGCAACCTCTAACCACTTCTCAACCTCTATTTTCTTCCTTCCCAAGACCGACCTCTCCTTCCCTCTCCCACTCTGCCTTATTCGTGTTCCACACACATGTGCACGCAGCTCCCTCTTCTTCCCACCATCACCCCCTCTGGGACTCCCACCTTGTGCGGTACTTAGAGACAGCAGGGCAGCCCCGTCACCACCACACTCGCAATACTGACTGAAGACACCAAGACACGACATCGTCAGGATGCACACAAATTTAAAAACTGTTAGTCTTGGTTTCTTACCATCCCATTTCTACATGGGGTTGCTGGAAAATGCCTTCTGCGGCTCAGTCCTTAAAATCTGAGAATGATGTTCAAAAGCATGAGTGGAACACACCTAAACACGTAACTTAATTTGCTTAATGACAAATGATGAGGGAATCAAAACTGCTAACAGTAGAAGTCAGTTTCTAAAAGAACCAGATTTCTTTCTGTCACTAATTATCAGTGAACACAGGACTGTGGGGCAGGATTACATGAGAGCACAAACCATGTACTGAGCTGCATGCGTGAGTGTGAAGGACACAAGGTGGGAACCTGTGCTCTTGATTTTCCTGGGTACTTAGCAGACGAGCAGGTACTTATACCCCTTAATTAGGCCAGGGGCATGTTCTTGTCTAAAACATCCCTGAACTCCAAGCACACAGTTTGGATTTTCACATTCACTGTCCTCAATTACCTTCAAAAGGTCCTGGGACATCAGGGGCAGGATGAGGTTCACGCCATAGAGAACAACGTCGGCTGCGGACACAGACCTGCTTGCCGCTTGCCCCGGCTCGTGTCCTCTGAACACCTCATCTAGTAAAACACAAAGGTAGTCTTCGAAGTGCAACGTCAATATACTTACAGAGTTGCCTGTATTCTACCTTTGTGAGAAAGTAACGGAAGATTAAAACCTCTAAGCCAAAATGTATCTATGAGTGGACATCTGGTCAGTCTTGCCTTGGATCATTCTTTTGTATTTCACTTTTCAGGGTGTTGATGCAGTATTCTGTGTTTACGTTATTATTCTACAATGATAAAAAACTAATGCTTCCTGTTTGGAAAAGCAAAATCTATTCTACTGACAACAGAAGCTATACTGTGGGTTAAATAATTTCCACAGTAATATCTATATTCTCTCTTAGGTGTGTGAAATTTTTCTGCGCTGAAGAGAAATAGGGGAAAACAGAAATTAAAATGTTACAGAAAATAGTAGTTAAAAAATAACCACCAATATTCAAAAGGCTTAATCCTTTAAAAATTCTTAATCCATAAAAATGCATATAAGTTTAGAATCCTAAGACCTAAATAGGTAAGTGAGCAAAATCCAGAAACATCTATCAAACCCAAAGCCCCATGAAAAACAGTTCATTGCAATCATTAGTGAAGCAATGAAAATTTTTAATGAATACTTGAAAAAAAAATTTTTTTTCAATGTTTCTTTTTGAGAGACCGAGACAAAGAGTGAGTGTGGAGGGACAGAGGAAGAGAGGGACACAGAATCTGAAGCAGTTTCCCGGCTCCAAGCTGTCAGCACAGAGCCCGACGCGGGGCTCGAACCCACAAACCGTGAGATCATGACCTGAGCCCAAGTCGGATGCTTAACCGACTGTGCCACCCAGGCGCCCCTTTAATGAATACTTCTGATTCATTGAATTAAAAATGACTTTTAAATGGTAACATTTACATGTTTTTAAGTTTATTTATTTTGAGAGAGAGGAGACCGTGTGCGACTGCACATCAGCTGAGAGAGGGAGAGAACCCCAATCTGCACACACCGGGAGAGGGGGCCTATGTGGGGATCTATCTCAGAAAGGTGAGAGTTGGGCGCTAAACTGACTGAACAACCCAGGAGCCTCCCCTCACTGTTATTTATTTATTTTTATCTTCCTTTGCTTTAAAAAAAGACACTACAGCTTACCTGTATCACTAAAATCTATGAATTCTTTTGACAGAAGGTTAGTGAGAAGTTCCATAATGAGAAGCAGGTCCTGGTACTGCTCTTCCTCTGCTGTTACATCTATTCTCTGCCGCCCTAAGTTATTCTTAGAATATACTTGCAGCAAAGTAAGGCAGGCTTCATAGAGGTTCATAGCTTTGGACTGCAAGAGAACGTGCAGAAGTCATACTTAGTTGGGAAAAAAATATAAACCCTAAAAGAAATTGAAAATTATAATCTAATAAATTTACTCTGGATCCCAAAGGTAGTTAAAATACAACTACGCTTATTTTAAACTATCACAAAACACTAAGAAAAATGAGACCTCATACATTAAAGACTGCAGTTATATTTTAAAAATTAGCAGTTTTCTAACAAAATTTGACAGCCAGTTTTTTGTTCATTTGATAATACATACTAGAGACATAATAAGATTTTGGCAACACAACTGTTTTACTTGCTGTTTACCTTTGTGTATAACATTTATTAAGACTTAAAACCATTTAACTTGCAAAAGCACAGACTACCAAACCATGGTCTTAAATATCAGAATGGCGATGGCCGGCTCTCTCAGTCATGCACCTGTGGCTACGTCTGCAACATTTATAAAACCATCTTACTTTCGAGCAAGGGCCTTTGATCTAACAACAACAACAAAATTACAACTCAGAAACCCACCTGAAATGATTTAAAACAAGAGTTAGGCTAATCTACACACAAATACAAATATATTCCTTTAAGGCAGTTTAAAAACAGCTTTCTAAGTAATTCCTAAATAAAAAGTGCACCTGTGCTTACTGATTATAAAAGAAGTTAGCGTGTCCAAATTATCCATTTGATTTATAAAGCAAAGATACAAAGTGTCATTTAAAATTTTAAGCCTCAAGATTTTCAACAGAAACTGGTTAAATTTTTCTATGATTTGTCTTACCGAACATTCCTCATTTGAATGACTTTGAATAAAATACTGTAATCTCAAAGGAATTACTGATTTTACTAACAGTTTTAGGGCAGAATTGACTTTCCTTCAATAAACCTTCCTCTGGGTTTTGAGTTCTTTTATTTTTACTTTAATTTTTTATGTTTTATTTTTGAGAGAGAGAGACAGCACAAGCAGAGGGAGACACAGGATCTGAAACAGGCTCCAGGCTCTGAGCTGTCAGCACAGAGCCCGATGCAGGGCTCGAACCCACGAACCGCAAGATCATGACCTGAGCCTAAGTCGGACGCTTAACCGACTGAGCCACCCTGGCGCCCCTGGATTTTGAGCTCTTTTGAAAAGTTCTGAAGTTTTTTTGAAAACTCCTTTGGAGGTTTAATATTTTATTTCAGACAATAGTCATTAAATTTAAAACAAAGTATCTGTTATTTTGCTAATCCTAAAGAGAAAAAATTAACAATTGCTTACCTCTCCAAGATAGCATATCTGTTTATGTGCAACTTCAACAAAAACTTCTATTATGAGATTGACAGTCTCTGGGGTATTTTTGTAAACTTCCATCAGTCCAATGCAATTGGTAAGGAAGTCCATCAAAAAATTAAAAAGAATCGCCACGTTGTCAATCTGCGTGGCCTCCGCAATGCCGCACAGGGCTTCCAGTGTGGCTGTGATTTCCTGCTTCACCTCCTCTTGCTGACACATCTGCTGGAAGTTTTCTTGATTTATCACTCTTAAGAATCGCTGCTGAAGGGGCTGAAGAACCTGCCAAAACAAAGCACAAATTTTCTAAAAGTTTGATTCACATGCTTCATTTACATCAACTTTACTTCCTCAACTTGGATAAAGATTTACTTTCTAAAGCATTTCTAAAAGCACTGAAAACAATGATCTGAACCACATGTAATACTCCCTGTTTTGAGGGGAGTCATAACTTCTAACCCACATACACAACTAGCACACAGGACACTAGTATTAGGGAAATGGGAATCAAAACCACAAGGTGACATCACCTCATGCCTTTTAAAATGACCACCATCAAAAGAACAAGAGATAAATACTAGCAAGGATGTGGAGAAAAGGGGACTCCCATGCACTGTTGGTGGGGACTGTACACTGGTGCAGCCACTATGGAAAACAGTAAGGAGGACCCCTCAGAAAACTAAAAACAGATTTACCGTATGACCCAGTAATCCCACTTCTGGGAATATATCCAAAGGAAACGAAGACAGTAACTTGATTAGATATCTGCACCCCATGTTCATGGAAGCATTATTTACAATGGCCAAGACATGGAAACAGTAATTCAGGTTCCAGAAACCACAAATCACAGAACACTGAGTGTCCGTCAGTGGATGAATGAGCAAGCTGTGGTTCACATGCAATGGTATACTTAGCCACACAAAAGAGGAAATCCTACCATTTGTGACAACATGGATGAACCCTGAGGGTACACATTAAATAAGTCTGACAAAGAAAGACAAATACCATATGATCTTACTTATATGAGGAATTTTCATACACTAAAATAATAAAATAAAATAACAAAACAAACAAAAAATCCCGACTTTCAGAAAAAGATCCGTAGTTACTAGAGGTGAGGATGGGGATGGGGGATAAGGGGGCTCTGAACTTGAATAAGACAAGGAAGTACCAGGAGTACAATGCAAACGTGAGGACGACAGGTAACTCCGCGGTGTGACGAATAGGAAAACTGTTAACAGAGTAGATCCTCACAGTTCTCATCACAAGAAAAAAAATGTTCTTTTGTTGTTTCTTTTTATTGTATCTATGTGAGATCCGGGATGTTGATGAAAGTTCTTGCAGGAATCACTTCATAACATACGTAAGTCAAACCACTGTGCTGTACACCTTTTAAACCTACACAGGGATGTATGTCAATTATCTCAATAAAAGTGGAAAAGGTATTATTTATGGAAATGCAACTCAGCACATGCTATCCTCTCACTTCCTGAAGTGATTCAGGTTCCAAAAACCACAAATCACAGAACATGACTTAGTCAATCAATTCCATTCACAGAATTCTGTCACTATCACCATCTCTTTCCAGCTGATTAACCGCACCACCCCCCACCTCCAAAAGATGAAATTTAAGTCTCCAAAGGGTCAGAGTGTAAATATAAACTTTGCAGAATATGTCAACTCTGGCCCAACGATCCAGTTACAATTGCAATGTAGTACAGAAGCAGCCACAGATAAAATGTAAACAATTGAGCATGACTGTGTTTCAATAAAACTTTACTTAGAAAGAGAGACAGAAAGGGCGCCTGGGTGGCTTAGTCGGTTGAGCGTCCGACTTTTGCTTAGGTCATGATCTCGCGGTTGGTGGGTTCGAGCCCCGCGTCGGGCTCTGTGCTGACTGCCAGCTCAGAGCCTGGAGCCTGTTTCAGTCTGTGACTCCCTCTCTCTCTGACCCTCCCCTGCTCACGCTGTCTCTCTTTCTCTCTCCTAAAAATAAATAAAACATTTAAAAAAACAAAAACAAAAAAACAAAAGAAACCAACCCTACCAACACCAGGATCTTGGACTTCTGGTCTACAGAACTCAAGACAATAAATTTCTGCCATTTGTGCCACTACGTTTGTGGCATTTTGTTACCGCAGCCCGAGCGCTAGTGGTTAATATGCACCTCTTTGTTCAAGACAAGGGGGTATTTCATGGATTCTTCAGACTTGCATTTGAGTTGTGGGCAAAAATGTGCCCAAACTACAGAACGTTTGACAGAGTCCTCACAGATGCAGATATGGACAAATTATGAGATAGTATTTGTAAAATAAAAAGCTTCAACCTATTCCATTACGGGGGGAAAATATCAGGAAAGGGACAGCTGAAATGTTTACGTCTCCACAGAGTATTTTATGCCACCACACAAGGTAAAACATTAGAAGGTCACTCAAAATAACGGAAACTATTACCTCTGTCCAATACTGCTGTTTGGTTTCCGTGTCCATATGTGCAAAACCACCCAAGACAAGAGCCTTCATCAGTGTCCTCTGCACAGGACTTGACAAGAAATTCAGAGGTGGGCTTCGACTTGCAAACTGCTTAGCTAAGTTCCACCAGTTTTCACACTGAATCACTAAGTTTGCTCTATAGGCGGAAATAACAAAACATAACATGTATTACATATATACCAAGTAAACAAAAATGGAAGGGGGGCACCTGGGTGGCTCAGTCGGTTAAGCGTCCGACTTCGGCTCAGGTCATGATCTCACAATTCGTGGGTTCGAGCCCCGCGTCAGGCTCTGTGCTGACAGCTTAGTGCCTGGAACCTGCTTCCAATTCTTTGTCTCCCTCTCTCTCTGACCCTCCCCTGCTCACACTCTCTGTCTCTCTCTCTCAGAAATAAATAAAACATTAAAAAAAATTCAAACAAACAGACATGGAAGGTAATTGAATTTAATTAGTTTTTCAAGTACAGTATATAGTAAACTGGTATAGACTTTGGAGTCACACAAGTTTGTGTTCAAATCCCGTTAGTTGTTTGACAATGTAAAATCTATTTACTCTCTCTGATTTAGTTTCCAGATCTGTAAAACAGGGTAACAATGTTAATAACAGCCTTAACTCTCATGGCTGATATGGATACTATAGTTAAATAGTTACAATAAAATTAAATACTATATATGAAATGATTGAAACAGTACCTAGTAAATTACACAAACTCAATAAATAAGAGCCAATACTAAGAGTAATAACAATGACATTCCTATGTAGTAAGAAAAATATTTAGGGGCACCTGGATGGCTTAGTCGGTTAAGCATCCAACTTCAGCTCAGGTCATGATCTCACGGTTCGTGAGTTCAAGCACCGCACTGGGCTCTGTGCTAGAGCTTAGTGCCTGGAGCTGCTTCAGATCCTGTGTCTTCCTCTCTCCCTCTCTCTGCCCCTCCCCAATTTGTGGTCAGTCTGTCTCTCTCTCAAAAATAACATTAAAAAAAAAAGGAAAGAAGAAAAACATTTCCAGAGTTTGTTATAGAAAACACTAAAACTCTTAATTTGCAAAATTATTAAATTATCAAGTTTTTCTCATCTTTATTTTTATTTTTTTAAGTTTATTTACAGAGAGAGAGAGAGAGAGAGAGAGAGAGAGAGAGAATCCTAAGCAGGATCTTGCTATCAGCATGGAGCCTAATGTGGGATCTGAACTCGTGAGTCACAGATCATGATTTGACCTGAGCCGAAATCAAGAGTCAGACGCATAAGCAACTGAGGCACCCAAGTACCCCAAGTTTTTCTCATCTTTAAAACAGAATAAAAGGATATCTGAAAAAACACGTATGTTCTTACACGACTCTTTGATGCCAAATCATTGAACAGTCAATGCAATCCTCAGTTGTACCAAGGGAAAGCTCTATTTGAATTTATAGGAGTAGTATGATATTGGCTGTTTGTGTTTTTGTTTTTTTAAGTACACTGGTCTAAAATTCAGGGTCTATTTGTACCTTAGGAGCATGTACTTGTTTGCCACTTGAAAGACCACACACACACACACACACACACACACACACACACACACACAGAATCAGCCTCCTATAATTGGCTTACCTTTCTCTTCTTTCCACCAAAGTGACAAGGAGCTGCACAGTGTCATTTGCAAGGTCCTGCTCACTACTCCACACTGAGAGGTTACTGATGACCTTTTGTAAGAGGTAGCCAATAATCCACTGAGAGCCTTCCGTGTCTGCTCCAAATGCTGTACTGAACGGCAGACTTATCTTAAAAGAGAAAACAAAATTGTTAAGGTCAGAAAGATCAGCTTAAAAAGAAATGCACAGAAAAATCAAACCAAAATTAGCATCTAAATCTGAAGTACTGCTTACTTCGCGTCAATTTTATAAATGCGTTCATTTCTGTAAGTCCGAAAGAAGATCTCCTCAACCACTAACATCTTCCAGTGTGCATTAACTTTACTCTCTTTAACACCCTAACATGATATTTACACCAAATACGAAGAACATAAATGAATCCATTCCCACTAGCAATGTGTAAATTAATATGGTTAAAATAAGCTGAATCAAATGATATGCTTGCTCTAAGGAGAGTTATTAAAATCGTACACCATTAATACAGTTCTCGCCAATGTGGAAGATGTTAAGCTCTTAGTTACATTTTGAGGAGACAATCACCAAGAAAATTATTCTCATTTCCACAACTGTCATCGGCATAAAACCAAAGTCTGTTTTATATTCTGACCTGATCATATAGTTTCTCATCCACCAGGAGGTAAGTCTTTGCCCAGCGTTTTAGAAACCACACAATGTCTTTGCCCATCTGAGGGCTTAGTAGGTGAGTGAGATCTGCTCTTATTGCTCGAGATTCAACTTCTGAAACTCTCAGAACGGCAGATAATAGCCTGTAGGTATAAAAGAGAAGTCATTTATTCTTTCGTTTATTTCACTAATATTACTTTTTTCTTAAAAGTCCTTTTTGTTTCATTTTTTCAACTCTCTGAATTTAGGCCAGCCTATAACTTGGAATTTCCCTCAGCAGGATGGTAGACGAATGCCCCAGTTTACTGCTGACCTATCAGGAAGCAGGAAACAAGACTAAGTGTCCCGGATGGAGACACCCTTCTGTGGAAGTCTCAGCACTATTATCTAAAGAGATTTTTCACATTCAAAATGGAGAACTATATACAATTAAAAGTTCAGAGTAACGGCTACATTCTTCAGCACTCCATCACTACTTAACTCTGTGCTTAGCACTGTTTATTTTTATACGTTTGTCATTTTATGGTGGATGATCTGGTAACTGATTTATCTAGAAATGCTCTGAATATTAAATCTTGCCTCTAAATCATACAGTCCTGTATACTTCCTAACTTGATTCTTAATGGTATTCTAAAATGAAAATCTTGCTAAAAAACTTATCTATGTAAGCATACATACTGTCCTCTCCTACACTACATAATTCATATGGCTGTGTGCTGTTAATAACAGAGCATGATATGTAGGCAAGTTAAGAAGTCTTGTTCTGGGGGCAGAAGTAGGAGAGAACAGACTCAGAAGTGATACATTTAACTTGACTTTAGCTAAAAGGCAAAGCAGCAAAGGATGGAATCCAAAGAATCCATTTGAACATAATTTTATAGATATCCTGCCAAGACAGGGATTCTAACCACCTGAAGTCTGGCTCCTGCTACTTCTCCTTACTGTTCTCAAGACGACTTGAGATAATTTCCTTGTAATGAAATCTTACATTTCAGTTCTTTGTCCACTAGATCTCTAAACTACTAGATAATGTTTATCACTCTGTCCTTTTGAAATAATTTCTTCCCTTGACCCATACAAGACATTGTTAAGTTTCTGCCTCCAGAACATCTTTTTCCCTTTATAATACATACTCCTTACACTACCAGTGCTCAAATTTTCAAAAATTATTTTAGGGTGGACATGAACGAAAACACCCCAGGACCTCACATTACATTTAAGTTAATGTATCAGATTTTTCCGGTAAGAATAGTTTTAAATGATATAATTTGCAGCCTAACAGAATCTGAATTAAATAATTACAGTAACTTTCTAAATTTATGCATAGGAATATAATTATCACTGTTTTGATACCCACCATCATCCATTTGAAAAATAAGTTTTTCTTTAACAGTTGGGAACTTAATACATTCTTTGTCTCCTTAAATTTTTATTTCATTTCCCCACAGATTATCTTACATTTTTATACTCATGTTATTGACCACATCACATACTTCTCTGAAACAGATATGTGTAGTTACTGAAATGTAATTTTTAAAAAATTCCCAGTGACCCTGACTTTGCTTTAAAATGTCTTTTGGATTGAGTTATCTACTGTTGCAATACTTATGAGTACACAATTGAGTGAAGTATAACACAAACTTAAATTATTAAACATAGGGGCGCCTGGGTGGCTCAGTTGGTTAAGCGTCCGACTTCAGCTCAGGTCATGATCTCGCAGTTCGTGAGTTTGAGCCCTGCGTCAGGCTCTATGCTGACAGCTCAGAGCCTGGAGCCTGCTTCGGATTCTGTGTCTCCCTCTCTCTCTCTGCCCCTCCCTCGCTCGCGATCTGTCTCTCTCTCACACAAAAAAATAAACATTAAAAAAGGTTAAAAAAATTCTTACACATAAAAGTAAAATTTTATGCATTTGTGAATGAGGTTAATGTAGCAGGATTTTGTTTTTCCAAATTAGTTCATGCATCTGTGAAAAAATATTACTAATTAACAAATTATTAAAAAACATTAGCAGCTATTAAAAACATGTATATATATTACTTATTCCCAGAATAAGACAGAGCTGAGCATAATTTGATTCCTTTTTCATTTTTATAGAAATAGAGAGAGCTTATTCACATAAATGGAAAAAGCATTTTTTAAATAGCAGGGTTCCTCAATTATTTGAACTTCTTCCTAGTTTTATGCAAAAAATCTCAAAGATCTACCATCAAAAATTATTTGTAATTATCAATATTAACTGACAACTTGATTTCTTCAATGTCCTTTAATGCAAAGGGCTAAATACCTCCTGACTTGTAAAATCAGTGGTTATCCATTACTCAGTCATTCACGCCCACCACCACGCTATTTGGCCCTGGCCCTGTATCTGGCCCTCTGCGCGCTGATACACCCGTCTGCCCATCTCGTTAGGTCTCAGAATGAGGGAGCGTTTCAGCCTTGCTTTCGTACAGCAGGAGCAAGGTAAAGAAGAGTAGCCCAGGAAGGCCCTTGTGGGCTCCCGGAGCCCGCCCCCGTCCCTCCCCTGCCCATCCGTCAGGCACTCTCTCTCGGGGCTACCTGACGGGCTACCTGACGGAGCCTCTCACATCCACCTGCCTCTTTCCGCTGATGAAAACGCTTCCTGACCCTCCTGGTCACCCTTTAGACCACCTTCCACGGAAGGATCCTGCCGCCTCGGGTTGACCAGTTCACTGCCCTGCCTCCCGTCCTCCACGCCAGTTTCACTCCTACCTCCTTGACCCAACCCAGCGCCATCCCCCTCCTCCATGTCCTCACACCCCTCCCCCTCCCCGTTCACTCGCGTGCAGGCCCTGCCTCTGCGCCCCTCGCGGCCTGGTGCACTCTTGGCCTTTTGCTGTATCTCCTCCTCCCTCAACTATGTGTCCAAATGCCGCGTCTCGCAAAGCACCCCTGGGTCCTTCCCTGCCGCCGGGCTGGGCAAACCCGGGCGAGCCTCTATCACTCTGAGCAGACTCCTACTGGATCCTCAGATCCTGGAATAGAGGGAGGGGAGTTGAAACAACTCAAAGCATTTTTTTAATTAAAGTGTAGTTGACACACAAGGTTACATTCAAAACCTTTTTTAATTGTTGGTATTTCCAATTTCTAATGCAACTTTAATTTCTTAAGTATGCTATCTAAACAAACATGCCTGGGTGGCTTAGTCGGTTAAGCGTCCGACTTTCGCTTAGATCATGATCTCGCGGTTCGTGGGTTCGAGCCCCGCGTCGGGCTCTGTGCTGACAGCCAGCTCAGAACCTGGAGCCTGTTTCAGAGTCTGTCACTCCCTCTCTCTCTCTGACCCTCCCCTGCTCACGCTGTCTCTCTCTCTCTCCTAGAAATAAATTAAAAAACATTAAAAAAAAAAAACATGCTTTATATTTCAAACAGCACTCACAGTCTCCCATACTGTACAAATCAATCTTGAATTACCTTTGCACTTCATAAACCAAAAGTCTGCAGAATGTGTCTAACAGAGCTTTTTAGTTTCTCACAACATCGACTATTATCACTCTGATTTAGACCGCTATCATCTTTCCCTTGGATTACTACAATTAGCCTCTTAACTGGTCTCCCTGCTTCCATTTTTGTCCCTCATAGTTTACCCTCAGTGCAGCAGAGTAACCTTCTTGCACATTAAGTGCTGCTCAAAACCTTACAACGGCATCCTACTTCATTCAGAGCAAAGGCTAAAGACTTTATCTGATATCCCTCTATTTTCCCTTCTATCTTCACCTCCTGACAAAATTCCACCTCACTCTGCTCAACCCACAATGGCAGTTCTTACTATTGCCTGAATATGCCAGATGTGCCCCAGGACCTTTGCATTACCTGTTCACTCTCCTGGAATGCTCTTCCCCAGGCCTTCATGGCCTCCCTTACCAACCTCAAGTCTTTGCCGACAAGTCCCCTTCTAAATAAAGCCTATACTGATTACACCATTTAAAATTATACACAATCCCAGGAATCTGTACTACTAATTCCCCTCACCCTCTTATCCAGAGTGCGTACAGTCTTCTAACATACTATTATTTTCTTCCTTCCTTCTTTGTCTCTCTCTCTCATTCATTCATTCATTCATCCATTCATCTTTCCCCCACAAGGAGCTTTAAAGGGGGATGATTTTTGTCGTCATCCCAAATGCCTAGAACAGTACCTGGTACTCAATTAATTACTTGCATAAGATAAATTCTTCAAGAAATGTTAACTTTTTTAGTCAAACAAGGAATGTTTCTCTCATACACCTTTCAATTTCACATTAATTCTTTGGACTTACAAAAAAAAAAAAAAAAGGCGATTTTTTGTTTTCCAAACCTCACCTCAACCCTCCATAGTCTGTGCTCTCAGATACAAAAATATTTTGCTCCCACATTGATACCTGAGACTGGCAAAAATTGAAAAAGCACTGAAAATACAAGGAAAGCATTCCTGATGGTACTGCCCAGGCAAGAAATATGACAAAAAATATAATATGACAGCACCCTGAAATGAATTGCTTTTGAAATTAGCATTCACCATGAATCAAACCAAAGCAAAGGCAATGATTTTCACAAGCAATTAACCTACTGCCTGTAGTAATCCCAAAAAAGAGATAAAACTTCTCCAAAAATAGAGCACTGATATTTTACTTCAAACAAGAAAATAAACAATAAAGGAAATAAATTCCTAAACATTTGATAGTTCATTTTTAAAAAATTCTATTTTCTACTGCACAGGTATAAACGATATCCATGTATTTTTGAATTAAATTAAAGTGATGAAGGGGACAGCACCCTGCTTGAGTTATTGATTCTGCAACTGACAAAAACCAATGTTATCTCCTTATTGGTGTATCTGCCTGCAACCTCACTTTAAAGATACTGAGATTTCAGATGTTGTTTTTAAATTCACTTTTAGGAGGATATTTGGTCTAGGTGTATCCTTCCTTAATTTCACCGTGAACAATTAATGGAAATTTTGCCACTACTCCTAGGAAGATCAAAATGACTTCTCATTTGAGGCACACTACTATCTTCTAACTTTACCTGACAGGACACTCAAGCTTCAAATGTTCAGAACAAATACTTCAATTTTGTAAGGTACGAATCACAGTTTTCCTTCAGAAAGCCGCTGACATGTAGCTTTAGCTCGTGAACAACAGACACTTGCTAGCGTTCACCGGGTGCCTGGGAGTGTCACAGGCTGTGTTTCGCTCGTCAGGGCGCCTGTGCCGCAGCAGCGCTGCACTCTGACAGCCAGGGACGCGGCCCTCCCGAGCTACCCTGTACTCAGAATAATGTCCCCTGTGTCTTCCTCAGTTCGGGATATAGCTGTCAATTCTCACCGGAGGGGCACTGCTCAAAACATGCCGAGTACTTGCCATCCTTGTGTATTTCAAGGCTTCTCCAAGTTTTATTTCCTTTCATGTGTCAGATTTACAACGTGGCTAACACAGGAGTCACCTACCCATCAACTCAGAATTTATAAAACAGTATAAATTACAAGAGCACAGCTATAGAGTTCATATTACCTAATCACAGAATCTGTTCTGTTGTACCCTGGGATGGAAGAAGCCTTTTCTCCTGGAGATCCCAAAATTTGAAGTGTTGTATTAATGTCAACTTCAGATGAATGCTTAATGGAATATTCCATTATTTCTGGAGGTATTAGCGGAGTCTCTCCCTGAGTATCATCAGCTAAGAGGTAGCCTTCAGTTTAAAAAAAATTAAAAATGAACACTTAACAAATCTACATTTATCAAATTGCACTATAAATGTTCTCAGTTTTATCTGATTTATATACATATTAAATTGATGTAAAAATAAATTATAAATGTTACTGTTAATTTCAAGTTTGATGAGTAGAAACTATTTCTCAGATAATTAACTCTCAAAATACAAAGGACATATGTTTTATTCACCAATTTTATAATTCATACTGACATGTAGGCTTTTTAATCTACTACCTTTTAATAATTTTTAGTACTATATTCTGTAAACTTAATAGGAATTCTATTATCTATATCAAAAAATCAATATTTGGGAATGCCTTTTCCAAAATTAAGATTTTTTTCCCTTGATTATTAAAAACACAGAAACACTGATAGTATGGTTATAAAAGAAGACCCTACAAGTCAGACTGCCTAGATTTGCATTCTGGCTCCAAAAATTAATAGCAGTGTGACCATGGGCTACTTTCGTAAAACTCTCTTTCAGCGCCTTCATTCATAAGATGAGGACAATAATAATAATGAAACCTGATAACAGTACTAAGTGGGCTGCAATGAACGCCACATAAGGTATTCGGTATGCAATAGGCATTAAATATACATGTTAGACAATATTTTTTAAAAATGCATCCATAGCTCTGTGATACACAGCATCTGTACTCAAAGTTCATCCAACACTATGTATGGAATTTATTTTAACATATGAAGCTTCTTCTAACATCTAAGAACTTTAAACTGCTCAGTTGTGGCAATTACATTTTACAAAGAAATAAACAACCAACCTGTAACTAAAATAAGCCAGTGAATATCTTCATAGAGATCATCAAGCATCTTGCTGTCTCTGGTGCTTGAGCCAGGTGAGGCAAGTAACTGCTGCTGCTGGCGCTGTAACTGACCATGGAGCCTGGTGACTCTTTCTTCTAATAAACTAAAAAGGGGGGAAAACCCAAAGTTTCATAAAGTTCACTAAACAAAAGCTAGAACAAATCATATACATAATTTCCATTTATTAGACAACATAAATTAAGATGTTAGCACAGAAGCACATATATGAAGATATTTATTGTAGTACACAACTGTTCTCAGAGCAGTTTAGGAACTGTGATTTATTCTTTATGACACAGAATTAAAACATTGCTTTACAAACAATCAAGTTTACAACAGGCATTTGAAAACTGGTTATTCCACGTTTTTATTGATACGGGTCAAACCATTCTCATACCACGTTTCCACAACTCTGCCATCTATGCTGTAGGGCCTGGGCCTGGGCTCCATGTGCACAAGCCAAGGAATGCAACCATGAGCATGTTTCTGTCCACTTGTTCCATGTGCTGGGGCACGGGGTGGGGGTGTTAAAGTCTGTAAACACTTAAAGTGCTCTCCAGGGAATTGTGAATAGAGAACATTTGCTCCATGGGGTTTCTTTGGACTGTGTGTACCTTGTCAGAAGAGGTATACAGTGCTCTGCAGCAATTCTTCCTAGCATTCCTACACTGGCTAGTTGATCTGAAAACTGGTCTCGATCATCCTCTTGAAGTTCACTTATTTCTTCTTCCTCGCGAGAGGCCACACCATTGGCAGTCTATTGTCAATGAAAGAAATAAAGAGTGAGGAGCTGCACTCCTTTGTTGAAGAAATCCCGCACGTCTGTTGCACCGTGACACAGCTTTAGCACTGCTCCCGAGGAGAGCTGGGCAGAGCCAACCCAGTGGTCCAGGCCCGCTATCTAACTGCGCTGACCGTGCTAGTTGTTCCAAAAAGGGGGGGAGGGGTACAGAAGACAAAGAAACAGAAGGTATCGCCCTACAGTGCATGTATGTAAACACAGCAAACTGCACTCACAAGCCACCTCCCACCCCAGAGAATTTAACTTCTGTCACTGAAAAGATTGGACGTCTTGAAGATTCACGATCCTTTATGTACAAGAAGTCATTTATATCACTCAGCCACTAGGAAGACCAGGCGGGTCACTGAACTGAAGAGTACCGGGGTAACTACGAGCAGCACCCCACCAGTATGAACTCACTTAGACAACAGGGTTACTTTTGGTCTCTAATGCTCTCAGCACATCTTCTCATGATGCTCCTCCTAAATTTCTAGGGTTACACAATATGTAATAGGATAAAAGGTGAAACAGAGCTGTGATGAAATACATTTGTACTGACGGTCCAGCTTGAAACTCACCAAATTCCTCGTGCCGTCTGGAGCAGCGAGGTGGCACTGGATATAGGAGTTGAAAACTTGAACTGCATGTTGGGTAAAAAAGCCTTTATGGAAATGTTTGTCATCTTGAACCAAAGTCAGCCAGGACTCCAGCAACTTGTCATACGCCTCCATGTACACCATGTCGTCTTTGTCAAGCTGAGAGAAAACAACACTCATAAAGCAAATGGCTACAGAAATAAGATGGGAATTATAACAAGAGTTACAGTTATACAGATAAATCATTTCCTGAGTTGTTCCTTCAGCAAAGGTTCCCAGTTATTCCATAATCTAGCTGAGAGCATTCTAAAATTAATCAAACACTGCAGTAAAAATGTGTAGGCTTTTTATTATACCTTCTAAAATCTTCCTAACTTAATCTAGATAATTCTTAAGCAAACAAAAATTAATGTTTACCTTTTTAGAAAACTAGCTGTTCAGTTCTTTGTGAAACATGTATTTTTCAAATAAAAATCATATTAACATTTCTTTGTAGTCAAGAGAACTATTAGAATAAAAATACTAAATGTGTACTTACTATACACTTTTAAATGATTTTAGAAAAAGTGAAGAATGATGAAAATAGACTGGCCTCATCAGCATATTTAAGAATATGTAGAGAGAACTTCATAGGCGTTAAATCCTTATTAAATTACCTTAGGACATTCTTTTCATTTCACCCTTCATTCTTACGTAAATTTTCCACAAAAATGACTTAAAAATTTTTTAAAAATTAATATTTACTTATATTTGAGAGAGACATACACACAAACACATGAGCAGGGGAGGGGCAGGGAGAGCTGGAGACAGAATCTGAAGCAGGCTCTAGGCTGTCAGCACAGAGCCCGACCCAGGACTTGAACTCATGAACCGTGAGATCAGGACCTGAACCAAAGTCCAACACTTAACCAACTGGGCTTCCCAGGCACCCCTATATGGTGATATGCTTAGGAGTAAAATAGGGAGTCCTAATACAATTGTTACTTAACACCTGGAGGGCGTAGGTGATACAGGAGGGAAAAGGAGTAAATGCAAATACTGGAAAGGAAAGTAAAAAAAAAAAAAGACAATTATTTCCAGATGACATTCAGAAAAAGAAATTCAAAGAAATTAAACTTAGAGGGGCGCCTGGGTAGCTTAGTCGGTTAAGCGTCCGACTTTCGCTTAGGTCATGATCTCGCGGTTCGTGGGTTCAAGCCCCGTGTCGGGCTCTGTGCTGACAGCTCAGAGCCTGGAGCCTATTTCAGAGTCTGTATCTCCCTCTCTCTCTGACCCTCCCCTGCTATGCTGTCTCTCTCTCGCTCTCTTAGAAATAAATAAAAATATTTAAAAAAAAAAAGAAAGAAATTAAACTTAGAACTGTTAGAATAGTTATTTGGTAAGGTGGTCAGATATAAAGAAAATAAACCCATTGTGACATTTCTTTTATACCAACAATAGTCATGTTAAAATTGGGAGAAAAGATCTCACTCCATTAGGGAAAAAAACTGTAGGAACAAATTATAGGGCACTTCAAACAGAAATTTAAGAAGTCAAATTTACTGTTGAATCCAGTAAGCTTATAGCCTGCATCTCTCAATTGCGGTTTTTCTCTAATCTTCAGTTACCACTCTTATTTCTGTCTTTTGCAAGTTTTAAAAGATTACTTCATTTTAAATGCCACCAGAAATATTCTACGAAACAAAGAAGGTAATGAAAACATAAAATAATCTCAAATATAGTTTCAACTGCTATGCTCATTACCCTTCCTCTTTCCTCTGGAACACAGCCACTGCTAAAGCCTGATTCATTCATGGAAGAGCAGCTGTGAAGAATGGCCTAATGTACAACAAGACACCATTTGAAGGGTTAACTGAAGATGAAACTGACTTAAGAAATGTCTATTTAACAGCAGAGTCACATGGTGACTTACATATAAGGATGTTTGGGATCGCCTGGGTGGCTCAGTCAGTTAAGCATCCAACTCTTAATTTTGGCTCAGGTCATGATTTCGCGGTTCATGGGTTTGAGTCCCACATCTGGCACCAACTTATAGCAGGGAGTCTGTTTGGGGCTCTCTCGTGCTCTCTCTCTCTCTCTCTGCCCGTCCCCCACTCTCTAGGCACGCGTGTGCTCGCTCTCTCTCTCTCAAAAATAAACTTAAAAATGTTTGCTTCAGTGTTACTTAAATCCATGCCAATAAACTTATGAACCATTCCCCTAATCATGATTTTTAACACTAATCAATAACATGAAATAGTGGTCATAATAATATAAATAAAAAGTAATGATTTTGTTTTTATGTAACAAGTTGAACTTCTATGCCTTAAAATTTGGAAAAAGTACATTAAAATTTTGGAAAAAATACATTAAAACATTAATAGTAACAAGTTTCAGAAAGTGAAACTATAATTGATTTGGTTTAATTCTCATTACTTGCTTTCCCCCCAAAATTTTTAAAAGCAATTATTGAATATTAAATGTCCATAATGGGGAGGGGGTTTATAAACCTATGTGTGAGTAAAGAGAGGCCAAGAAAGTGATAAGTAAAATAGGTTTTATGAAGAATTTTAATTTTATACTCTGTTTGAAATACTTTTACCAATTAGCATATTCCATTTTTACATTAAAATTGTATTCTGAAATGGTATTAGTTAACAAATTTAAAATTATAAATGTGAAGAAAGAAGTAGAAGTAAAAACTTAAAAATGGACACATTCCTAGAAAAAAATGTGACTTGGTATATGGACCAAGGAGAAAAAGAAAACTTGGATACTCCCACAACTACTCATTTAAAATTTTTAGTTGGTTTATGTAAAAGAAAACACCAGGCTCAGCAGAATTACAGGTGAGATCTACCAAATTAGAAGAAAATAAAACAATCAACATTATACAAACTAGTCCAGAGAAGAGAAAAACAGAAAGCACCGGAGAGTAATCAGTGGAGCTGTTATGATTCTGACAACAAACAAATCCAACTGTTCATAAAAGGCCATGATATGTGATCATCTAGTTCGATTCAACTCAGAAATGCAAGGGTAATTTTACTATTAGAAACAACTTAGTTCATTAACAGATTAAGCAGAAATGCATTTAATAATATTCAATACTCATTCCTGTTTTACAAAAGCCTATTAGCAATTTTGATAAAGGATAGCTCAAAAACCTAGAGCAAATATTATTCCTAATGATGAACCAGAAAAGATATCTTCTATAACCACTTGTATCTACACTGTACAAGAAGAAAAAGGAATGTATTACACTAGAAGAGAAAGAAATACAAATTGAGAAGTCTGAAAAGCAAAATTTTCATTATTCACAGATGATACAATTGTCCAGAGAAGACTGAAAAGACGAATTATTAGAACCAGTAAGAATTTAGAAAGGTCAGTAGATAGATATCAGATCAATATATAAACACCAACTCTATTTCTCTATGCCAGCAGCAATCAGAAAAATGAGGTTTAAAAAAGATACTATTCACAACAGTAATAAAAATATAAGGTACTAAAAAAGCTTTTATTTTACTTTGAGACAATGAATTATATTTAAATCAGTATAGAGATACCACATTTATGGACAGAATATAAGAGAGATATCCATTCTTCACTAAAGATTCCCCATAATCCTTACCACAATCCAACTTGAGAAATCCACAAATTTTATATGGAAGAATAAAAAGTCAAATACATCCAAGACTCTTCTGAAGAACTGGCAGGCAGTGGGGGTGTGGGTGGAGGTATGTCCTATCACATGTGTAGATATCCCCTTAGGTGCATAAATAGAAAACTGACCAATGGAAGTGATTAGAGAGCTCAGGAAACATCCACTCTTATGTGAAAACTGGATATGTGACAGCAGTAGTTGTGTACCTTTGAGATATGAAGGGCTGTTAAATAAATGTTGCTGGCAGCAAAAGAAACCAGCAACGAAGTGAAAAGACCTCACCTTACACCTGTTAGAATGGCCATCATAAAAAGGGCAAGAGATAATAAATGATGGCATGGGGGTGGGGCACCTGGGTGGCTCAGTTGGCTGAATGTTCAACTACTCTTGGTTTTGGCTCAGGTCATGATCTCACAGTTCGTGGGATCAAGCCCCACCTCAAGCTCCACGCTGACCGCAGAGAGCCTGCTTGGGATTCTCTCTCTCTCTGCCTCTCCCACACACACTCTCTCTCTCAAAATAGATGGATAAGCTCTCTTTAAAAAAGATTAAAAAATTAATAAATGATATAAATAATGACATGGATTAGGAGAAAAGGGAACTTTTATGCACTGCTGGTGGGATCATAAATTGATACAGCCACTATGGAAAACAGTATACAGAATCCTCAAAAAATTAACAGAATTACCATATGATCCAGCAATTCTACTTCTGGGAATATATCCAAAGGAAATACAAACTCAAAATGATAATCTGCAACTCCATGTTAATAGCACCATTATTTACAACAGACAAGACATGGAAACAACATAAGTGTCCATCGACAGATGATAAAGAAATTATGGTATAGATACACAATGGAATATTTTCCAGCCACTTAAAAAAAATGAGGAAAATCTGTCATTTGTGACAACATGGATGGACCTTGAAGGTATTATGCCAAGTGAAATAAGTCAGAGAAAGACGAATACTACAATGATCTCACTTAAATGTAGAACACAAAAAACACAAAACAAAAAATAACAAAACCCCAACAAACTCAGAAAAATACATCAAATTTGTGGTTAGCAGATGTGGGGAGGTGCTGAGGTGGGGTAGGGGAGGGTGTGAATTGTTAGAGGAAGGTACTCAAAAGGTACAAACTTTCAGTTATAAGATAAATAAGTACTGCAGAGGTTATGTACAACATGATGACTACAGTTAACATTGCTGTGTGATATACAGGAAAGTTATTTGAGTAGATCCTAAGAGTTCTCATCACAAGGAGAAAATTGTCTTTTTATTGTACCTATATGAGATGATGGGTATTAACTAATAAACCTATTGTGGCAATCATTTCACAGATGTGTAAATCAAACCATCATGCTCTACACTTTAAACTTACAGGGGAATGTATGTCAATTATTTCTCAATAAAACTGGGGCAAATCTGTTATCCATGAGGAAAAAAAGGAACCTGGATCCCTATTTGATACCATATTAAAAATTAACTTCTAAGATGGTAAAGTCATGAA